ATGATATGTAAGTGCGAACTAAAATTGTGCTGGTTTGATCTTAGGGTAAGATGTCCGCGGGGAAGCGGGGCGGGGCATTGATGGCGGTACTAATTGTTTAGTGGGAGACACTTCTATCGGTAAATCGTTGAAAATATCAATAGGCGTATACTCTAGTATTGACTCATAAATAGTCATTGTTGCAGTGTAAGTGTCTCCCCGCTCCGGTTTTCATCAGTTTTGGGAGACATAGAGCAGATTTTAGGAGCTGCGGAGCTCTCTCGAGCCTCGTCGATCAAGCGAACAGGACGCTCCCGCGTAGCCATCGCTGCTTGCTCTGCTTTGCTGCAACTTTTTTGTCAGGCCATGCCAGCACGTTATAGTTTGAATAGAAGTTTGGGGCCGTCTTGCCAGTGCCATTACAATTGGCTACACTCAACTCGCATTCAACCAACACCTTCCGTTCTCATAACTCGTAAGTCATAATTTCCGCCTGCACTTCAAATAAAGTTTCGAAGCATCTTGTTAGCTTAAAATTTTTCGTACTTCAAAACACAATTTACTTAAGGACAACGTATTTCTTTTGCTCGTCAACGTTGTAAGTAAAGCTTCTATTAATTAAGCATTTATACTTTTTCTTCATACATTTATCTTACGTCTCTGTACTACTAAAGTTAAGAATATAGGTTGTTTGTAGCACTTTCCAAATAGTTTATACATTATTGTTCTTACTTCGTCACTTATAATAATCTTTGTTGGAAAAATTTCAAAGCCAGCCTCTCATTTACAACAACAGGCATATGTCTCTTAGTCAAACAAAGAATGATTTGCTTCGTTTTGCTTTCGATGTGTCCGTTCGCTACTTGGAATGGTTAAAATATATTCAAGTGAACGTTTATCTTAAACATTGGTAGCAGAGCTTTGGAAAATTTCAAGGCTACGTGACGTTTCACATCACTGCAACCCAGCAAAACATCAACAAGTGTCAGCTAGAGGACAAAGCGAAGAACAAGAAAGAAGATTTTTCATTCTTCTTGGTGTGGATCTTCTAAGCACACAGTGAGGCAGTCTACCTACTCCGACACTTTTNTCATCATCAAAGATTTTTTTAATTATTGGAAAACTCTTTCTCTAGTTTTTCTGGTATCACGGAAATACGAGCATTCGAAATAAACTCATCCAAACAATTAATTCAATTTAAGATTATTTGGGGTATTAAAACCACTATTGCAAATAAAATTAAGTGATTTAACGATTTAAATTTGATTATAAAGACATTTTAAAAATAGTGATTTATAATATAGTTATTAGTGATGTATGTAAAGTAAATATTTTCTTCTAGAAACATTCAATTAAAGGATAATTTACTTTAATACCTTTTACCGTAGTATGTTACATCTTATCTTAAGCCTGTGTATTACTATGGAAAAAGAGAAATTCAGTTAGTGCTATTCAACTGATTACACTTTGAAGTTGAACCTACTTGCTCCGTACTTTTTTTCATTAATTAAAAATCATAATTATCGAAACTTTTCACTAACTTAGTTATGCAGGAAAATGGACTATCTTCTAGTAAGATCAAAACATACGAATCAACAAGTTAATAAATTTTTTTGCCATATTTTACACTTTTCGAGCCTAGTACTTCAAGTATTATAAACAACACCCCAATGGCATTGCTCAAAGACTGCAACTCATATTTATATCCTTCACAGATAACTGAGTAGATAGCAATTGGCCTTTGTAGAGGTCCACATCGTACCACATATGGCTGTACCGTTGCACCGTAAGATTTGACTTTTTTTTTTTAATCTTAAGCTGAACTGTCTTAAAAATTCTGTTTTTCTTCATCATTTTAATCCTATACAACTTGATCCAAGCACATTTTATAATGAATATTCATGAAAGACTGTATCAGTGGTAGTAATATTTGGAAACCTTAATTTTACCCATGTATGAAAAAAGATCTAGTTATGTCTTGCCTAGTTGTACCTCCCCTCTGAATATCTCTAACAACATTGATAGGTAACTGGATAAATGATCAAAGTAACAATAACAATTATGTATCTGCAAAATTAGATTAAAAACGTGACGAGCCAATTTTTTTTAGAAATATTGAATAACAATATCTCATACATTACATTCAAAGAAAAAGGATAACAAACCTTTACTTACTGACGTGTCAAAATGTCTGCAGTTTCTTATTTTTCATGCTTTCTTCTGCAATTTTGACCATTTTACAAGCTGAATTATTCCAAGTAACCAAAAATAGTATTTTTTTGTGACAAAAAATTGTTCATAGTCTTGTATTCGCTGTCATAGAATGTCATTATTAAAAAGAAAAATGTTTGAAAAACCGGTTGTCTGAAAAGAATAAATATTAATTGAAAACCTTCGGGTAAACCTAAACAGGGGTATACTTTAAATATTTTTTGCATTCCTGAGTGTTTGAAAATATTTTTTTTTTTTTTAATTGAACATTTCCACAGTGTTAATAAACTTACAGACACAGTTGTGTCTATTATAGAAGCTTCCATGTAGCAGCACTTAATACGCACTGTACATCTGTACACATTTATCATAATAAATTAACTGTATTACTTCAAACTTTTTTAAATTACAAGAACTTTTTTTATAAATCAAACCTTTTTTTAAATTTTTTATAGAACTTCTTCAAACGTTTTAGTTTTTATCACATTAGATCTGAAATGTCGATAAAAACAGAACTAATCACCTCTTGCAAAAACGTAACCAACACTAGGGATATACAACTTTTTAGGCAATGAGCTGTTAGTAAAAATCTTTTTCTTATCGACTTTAAAAGTACTTACAGAATTTTTTTTCTTATAAAAATTATGTAAGATTTCTAGAGTTCTTGCTAAACTACCTGTAGTAATGTACGTTTAATTATTTTATTTTATTTAAT